TGTACTAGTACAAATAGTAGAAATGTATATACTGCACATATGTTACTATTTTATAAATTATTTAATAAAGATACAAGCAAGACTTCACCTTAAAAAAAAAAAAAAAAAAATATGTATCTTTTTCTTCTGAAATTTGGAAATTTTGATAACCTGGTTGGTTTATTTAATTTCTTTTTAAAGATCAACACATTTGTCTAGTTTCATAAGTTTTAGTTTTGTTTTATAAGTTTAGTCTTTATAGTAATATTATCAAAAGTTCAAATTACTTTTTTATTCAGATTTTTTAAGTAGGTTTTTATCTTCTTATCTGGTTCTTGTAATTTATATAATCTAAGGACTTATCTTAAGTTTATACTGTTTAGTACTAGTTTATGTTTTTTTATATAATATTATATAAGTGTTTAGACCTTCCAATTATGCTAATATAATATGGGTTACAGGTATTTAATCTTAACTAATTACAAAAAACAGTTAATCATAATATAGAAAGAATTACAAATTTTTACTATTATAAGATTTGAACTTTAAAACTACCACTTGGAAGTTAACAATCTATTCAGTTCACTAGGTTATTATACTTCTTTTAATTGTTAATATGCAATAAAAGGTTATTATTTTTTTTTATATTTATTTATTTTTTTTTTAATATTAATAATAAAATTATGCTTCTATCTTTATTAAATATAGGGAGTGTGGTAACCTAGTGAAGTGATTAGGTTGTCAACTTCCAAGTAACAGGTCTAGAGTTCAAATCCCATAGATGACAAATTTTGAAAAATAGGTCTGTGTTATGGTAACTGTCTCTGTCGATCGGTTGGATTGGTGTATCTATAACCTTGTTGCACCATCTCGAATGGGAGCTCAGGGCATCTATGCTAAATGTAACATTACACCTACATAAAGGAATGTTAATAACTGGTGTTGCATAAGACATCAGTGCAAACTTGTAATAAGACTACCAGGTGCGGAAAGCAAAGAAACTGAAGAGTCAGAAACCTACTTGGAAATATCAAGTAAGAAGATAGTACAAAACTTTCGATAGTGCTATCAGACTGATAGAAGCCCATAAAACACCCTCAAAGAGATAGGCAGATAAACTGGATAGCAAGATGTGTAGAAGAGCATATAACCAACCAGGCTGTTAGAATCACCTGAGAAAAAGAATACTAAGGTATATCATATCAGTGTACACTTATTTCTGCAAATGATACAATGTCAATCCCTTAAATTTTATTGAGTATTATTTTAAAGATCAAAACGTGACCTAATCAACCAATCAAAATTAAATTTTAATAAAGCAAAGATACAACATAATAATAAAACAAAGTTCAAAAACTTATTGCAATGCAATATATATTAGATCAAACTAAGATAAGAAGATTGCAATCACACAGCTATAATATAATGCATATGCATAACATATTTAATATATGATATTCGATTATGGTAGCCCAAGTTTTTATCAAACATATTGCATCAATATTAAATAGTATTTTAAATTAAAACTAGCAAAATATTTTCTTAACATTAAATATTGAAAGATTATGAAAACAAAAATCGAAATAAAAAACTTAAAAATAAATATTTATATTAGAGAATAAAGCATTTTTATCATAAACAGAGCAATGGATTATTTGCTTATATAAAATTTTTAAATAATTTACAATTAATAAATAAATAAATTAAATAATAAATACATATCTATAATAATTTAATATGGTTTTATAATAAAAATTTTTTATAAAACAATGAAACTAGTAGATAAAATTTTCTTATAAAGCACCAACAATAAAAATATTCATAGTATCTGCTATTAGCTTTTATAACTTTAAATAAAATATTGTCTTCAGGATATAATAATATAAAATTTAAATATTTATCATAATTATATTCAAAATTCATTTTAAATAAGATTTATTGTAGAAAAAATCAAATTATAGTGAAATTTCTAGCAACTCAAAAAATTTTTTAAACTATTAATAAGAATAATTAACCAACAAAAAAAAAGAATTATTATCTTAACTGCCAAATAAATAACGAAATAATATTATCTAAAATAATATTGACATTTGCAAGCATTAAAGGTTCGATCTATTCAAAAACAGAAGTCCAGATATTCATTTGTTCAATATATTTATTATCAAAATGTCTGCTAAAAAATCTAATGAATACCTAGATAATATCATTAGATATTCACTAAATATCTTGATATATCATTTAAACCAGACTTCAAGTAATATCTAAGGCTGGCACTGCAAGGATTTTGGCATGCTAAAGTGCTTCTAATAAATCCATCACATAAAAATATGAAACCTAAAGTTGAAAGTGCTCCTGAAATTTGAAATATGCTTCATGCTGAAAGTGTAAGTAAGCTATTTTCATAAATTTCTAAAAGTACAATTTACATTATTTGCAAACATATTGATTTGCTGAATGATTATTGTTTAGAATTTAAAAATAATCAGGAAGTTGTCTATGAAAGTATTTTGAAGAACTGTATTAGAATTTTATTATAAAAAAAAAAAGATTTCAAAATTAAATTCAGCATAAAAATAGTTCTCTGCACAAAGTCTCTTATCTTATTTTCTTGGTTTGTTGCATTAAGTTACTTATAATTAGTGTTAATGAATTATTCAATTTGTTTATATATAAATTTTTCTGTAAATATACTTATCTGACAATGATTTGAACTTTTGGTAGCACTTAATACTTTCAAATCAGTTTTCATATTTATCAGAATAATGGATTTGCCGAAAGCATTTTTGTATGACAGAATATTTTTGAACCTTCTTCAGTGATGCCTCTTCTAATAATATATAATTCTGTAAAATTCATCAAATATTCATTGAATTAAATCAGTGAATATTAATATTCTATTCAATGAATTAGACTTATATCCAGATGTCATCAATCACTAGTGAAATATTAAATCATTAGTTAAGAATAAATAAATTATTTACTGAGTAGCAATAAAAGCCATCACCTAAGCTCATTTAGTAATTTCTTGCATTTAATCATTTATGAAATATATTTGAACATTGCGCAGTATCTTATATATTGTATACAGAATTTTGGATTATCTACACAATACACAATACAAGCCAGTCAATTAAATTAATATGCCAGAATATAAGCAAAGGATATTATATAAGTTCAGGAAATAAAAATTACCAATTTTATTAATTAAACCATTTCTGCATTCACATCACATGCATCTAATTAATAAATTTCTTTCATGTTAAGCTTTACATAATAATTTGCTACAGCAACCACGTAATTACAAATTTTATTTTCACATAATTTACATATATAAGTTGCAAATTTTCCATGTCTAAAATAAATAAAAGAATTTGTTTAGACTTTACACATTATATAACTATAAAGCCAGAGATTTAACACTGATTCATTACTTCACCTTCACAATATATGCATTACATATACATTATTCCTATGCATTGTCAGAGGTAAAACTGATACCTCATCGAACCTGCAAAATGGATGTCATTGTAGCATACTTATCTAATTAGAGTTGCTCATGATGATCCATCTAAAACATGTGTGCTCAGCCCTAAAGAAGCTATATGGAAAGTATACAAGCCTTCATGCAGGACCCCATCACCACCTCTAATTAAAGTAAGGTCAACCTGGACCAACCTGTTGTACTGAGAATGGACATTGACTCCATCTACCTTACTTGGGTTAGGTATGAGGCAATGTCAAAAAGGATGCAATTGAAGAAAATATGATAGATTCTGGCACTAAAATTATGAAACTAAAACATTTCTATTAGTTCTATAAAGGCTATGAGAAATATTAAAGTAATGAAAGACTGTATAGAAGGGGTTAAAGGTTATAACAAATAAGGTTGGAAAGCATTGGGAATAATGAAGAGAGTCATGGTCTTGTGTGGGCTCTTTTCGTGATCAAATTCATTATAAAAAAGGTGGAATTTCCCTTTCCAAGATCTAAGTATCAAAGTATCATCCAAGAGTTTAGAATAATTCATAACCACCCTTAACTATATAATTGTATTGCTTCTACAAAATTAATAAAGTTAATAAAGCATTTTTTTAACTTGTAAAATAAATAAACACTCCTTTAAGATCATAATACTTATCTTGTAACACTTCTCTTCGATTATCTTTACCTTGTGCCAAATTGAAAAACCACCTCTATTATCTTTGAGAAACATTATATGACATAATCATTTTTTTAGTGACAATCTGTCACATTTGCCCCATCTCTGAACTTGATGTAATTACCTATTACAGTATACATAAATAAAATTTAAAGTATTACATATAATATATATTTTAGACTCTAATTGTATGTAACAAAAAATAAATTAATTTGTCATGATATCTCAAAATAATTTTTAAAATATATAATAAAGCCAATTTTACTTTTAAAAACATTTATCTAAAAAATTTTGAACTGTATTAATCTCTAAGTGCGAATTCATTTGTTGATTAATAAAGATTTTTTTTACAACTGAGAATTCTTGATTGTTTCTTCAAACTAAAGTTTTTTATTAAGTTCAAAAAAACAACTCTACTTCTAAATATAAAAATAGAACAAAATTACATTACCTCTTATGCTACAGAATTCAATGTTGAGGACAAAGCTGATAATCAAGAAGCAGGACTAGAAGATTTAGTTGATCATTTTGATCACTTTATCAAAACTATACAAAACTCAATTTCTATTAACCAATTACTCTTAGGTGCTAATTTAATTGAGAATAATATAAATTTCTATCATGGCAAACACATAGAAGGTGATGAATTTAAAGTCCCACCAGACACAAACTTTCATCAATGGGTTGAAGAATTTGGAAAATTAATTAGTGCATCATATCTTAAATGTCATATAGAAGAAAATAAACATGACTTAATTTTGAGAGTTATTTACAAATGCCATTGCACTAGAACTTATCAGAATGCAGCAGGCAAAAGTCAACCAAATAAAAAGTAGTAGCCAAATCAAAAAGAAACAAAAAAATGTGATTGTAAATCTCAAATAATTATTACTAAAATACATACACCCAATGGTCAACATATAACAATTAAATATACTTCTTATACTAATCATTTTCCTAGTTCTGTTGAAGATATCGGCAATCTAAGACTTTCCAAAAAAGTTCATAATTGGATTGCTGATCATATTCATAATGGGCTAAACATTAAAGGAATTAATCAGCTATTTCAGAAAAGGGCTTGTGATTTATCAAAGATCTGACAAGAACATAGTCAACAAAATGCTATTTGCATCTGAGATAATCTTGTAACTCGTGATGACATCTACAATATCTGAAAAGAGGTTGTCAAAGAAAATCAAATAAAACATGCAATTGAAGAACAAAGTATAGAAATGTGACAAATTGAACTTAGTCAAAAAGGTAATTTAACATGTGCAATTCTACAGCTAAAAGGTAATAGTAATCATAATAAAAATAAACCTTTTATTTAAAATCCAAAAATAAAAATTATCTTAAGATATTAAATGATATGATTTTTTAATATAAAAGGCAAGCTTTTTGGGTTTACTGTTCCTAGTAGCAAAAAAATTATTTATAAAGTTACAATAATTTTGCTTGATATGACTTATAGAATAAACAAGCATAATGATTTATTATATACCTTTCTACTATCTAATTCAAAAACAGGTAAAGGAGTAACACTTGCTCATCTTCTTTCATCTCTTAAGAATTTTGAATTAGTACACCATTGGCTTTATAGCCTTCGCAAACAAATCTCTGATTGGCAAGGTTCTGTCACATTTCTTGTAGATTGTGATTCTGCACAAATTAAAGCTCTTTATGTTGCCTTTTCAGAAAGCAAAATTTTACTTTGTTGGTGGCATATTGCAAGAGCTTGGTGAAAAAATATTAACAAAGCCTGCAAAGACAAAGCTAAAATTATAGAGCATAAGCTCAATCAAAATGAAAAAAGATTATTAGGTGAAGAACTGTTTGCAGACTTAAAAAACTTAATGCATATAGATAATACAAATGTAGTTGATGAAATATTGCTTTTCTAGATAAATAGAAAAATTATGAAACATTTATTAACTATTTTAAATCACAATAGCTAAATGACTATGATAAACATGCTATTAACAAAACAATATGGATAAAAGCTTACCAAAATAAAATCCCACATTCTAATATGAATACTACTAATATGATTGAATCCTGGTACAAGCGCCTCAAGTATGATAATTTTGAAGGAAAGTTTAATAGGCACAGTGAACTATTGTTCTATAAATTATATATTATAATCAATGAAGATACATAGCATCAATAACATCCTGCAGATGTTAGAGCAAGACAAATAATGCCAGCTGAACAAAAAATTCGTCGAAGACAATTAAAAGCACAAGAACTTATAAATACTGTTTTAGAGTTTAGAAATAATAGTCATATTTGGACTATGGCCTCTGAATTAACACAAGATATAAGATATTCTGTGAAAAAAAAAATTGAGCACTGTCAATTAGAAAGACAATTTTATTGTACATGCTTAGATTTTCAAATGCATCAACTTCTTTGTAAACATATCTATGCTGTAATTTTTTGTTATTTTTTTTTGTCTCAACAAAATCAACAACAGCAACTTCTAGTAATAACACAACAACAATTTTCAACAGCACAAAGCAGCTTACTACTGAAGAACTTTGTCAAAGAATCCAAAAGATGACAAAAAACATTAATGATCTTAATATTGTGCATTTGCAAATTGTTTATAATCAACTATCATGAATTCTCAATGAAGTTCATAGACCAAAAAGAGATTTCCAAGCAGAAGACTAAGTAGGTGAAAGCCAAAGAATTAGTTTTCCACCACACATGAGTGTTGAAAAACAGTGAAGATAATTTATATATGAATTTATAAAAATTTTAAAAAAAAAATTATATTGTTATTATAAAATTTTATACTCAATAAAAGTTAAATTTTGTTTTAACTATGTATATAAGTAAACATGTAATTAATATAAATACAAAAAAATATACATATAAATATATAAATAACTTTACCTCAAATAAATTCTACACAAAGAGCTTGACTTTAAAAGGCTTCATTTAGTTCATCAATGATAAAAAAAAAATATATTTGCTTTTATTATATTTATCACTTTTTCTTTAAAGATGCACAAATCAAGTTTTTGTGGCTGTTAACAAAGTGTGAACCTAATTAGATAATCAGGTCATGTTATGATCTTCAAAATAACACCCAATAGAATCCCCTAAACAACCCTTTAAATTTTTAGGTTGCTGGTTTACTTTGAATAACAGGCAATCTAAACAAACAAAATTAATTATCTCTAAATCCTCCCAACTTATCCAAATCACAAAAACAAAATGTATAACTGATTTACATACTCACTACATTATCAATACAGTTATCATTCCTACTATTGAATACCATCTATACAATATTGTTATTAACCAACCTATCTGCAACAAAATTTTTACTCAACATATTGGTCTTGTTAAGCTCAAAGCTAAACTTTGTCATACAATACCATCTAGTACCTTATTACATTCTCAAATTTACAA